CACAAAAGAAAAATAAAAGAAAGCATTAAGTTTAAACCTCAATTACAGAATAGATATCTCATTTCTTTGGTCCTTTGTATAAAAAAGGAGGCACAACAAATGCTCTCACAATTTTTTATACAAAATGTGAAATAGGACTATCAGCCAGGCTGCATTGGTCACCTTGTTTGACCTGGCGGCCTGGTCGTGCGACGACGAGGAAAGGGTCCAGCCCAAAAAAAAAAAATCAAAAATTTCGGAAACAAAAGTACATGATGCACAAAAAAAAACTGGACAATTTTTGTCTGAGGGTCACATCGGAAATTTTAACAATTTTGAAATATATTTTTTAAAAAAAGTAAAATAAAAAAATATTTATTTTATCATTTGTTTTCTTGGCCGGCTGAGCAACTTGCCCCGGACCACTTTGGCTCACCAAGAAGGCGAAGATTTACCTCTCAGTTCCCTACCTCCAGTACTCCTCCTAAGTTCCGGCAGAGTTGCCACAATCGGTGGGCAGACTCCCCTCAGAGTCTTGATGCAGTCCTACGGGTTGCAATCATGCCTGCCACCTTCCTCTATGAACAGGATTAGACCGAGAGTAAGAAAGGCAGAAGATAAGGGATTTCAGACGCTCGAGATACAGGAGAGGGACTTACTCAACTCTCAGGAGAGGGCCTTGTTGCCTTGGTACGCCTGAGGGCTCTGCAATGATGCCCAATGTGCGTAGTAACTTGGTCAACTGAAGTCGATTGTCAGCCGTTGATCCTCTGATGACGCTCCAAATCGTAACAGAGACCTTCTTACTCAACTCGATCACTCCCCCAAATCCCGATTCCACCGGCGCAATTGGGTTCACTATCCCTCTAACCCCCTCCCTGCCCGACTCCTCCAAAAGTATGGTCAAAGCCACAGTCAGACACGTATCTAACTTGTGGCCGGAGTTGCGTTATTTCATCTGATAGAAGGAACCGAGTACTGGCCAGCAAGTAAGCATGCCTCTTACGACTTGCCTGCAACTACTTCGCTCGGTATGATAGGCAACGCATCGACCAACGGGTGAGTCCTCTGCCCCACGGCTAGTCTCCGGCTACTCTGTATGGCGAGATGTGCAGTGTACCGGCGAGCAGGTTGGCCTTCAACCTCGATGCTCACTCCCTCTTTCTTGTTGCTCTCACTCCTTCCCGATCCCTCATGCTCTCGACCGCCTCCTAGTCGCAGTAGGGGCCACAACTGGTTAGGCAACTCCTGATGCCACAAGGGAAGTAGTTGCGACAACAACCGAGCAGGTGGTGGAGCAAGCTGGTGCCGAGGCTGAAAGCGGAAGGCCTGTAGGCACAACACACCACCTTGCAGGTAAGTTTCCAGACACCGTGGCTGCCTCCCACTTCTTCACTTTGACGGGATGCGCAACGAATCAACCAACAGGCAATCTGTAATCCCACGGTTCGCCTCACGCCACTCCAAATGATAGGGTGAGCAGCGCTCTGGTCGATAAGTAAGCTTCCTCACTCTCTCTTTCTTGCACGCACCTAGGCCCGTTTTCATTCGTGCGCCTGGTTTCGCATGCCCGTAGTCGTGCTAACCTATATGTGTTCACTCGTGTGCACCGCTATTAATTGTGCACCACGAGAACACGGCTTCTGTGAGACAGGCGAAAGATACACTGCGACGGCAAAAAAAGAACCCGGGTGTGAAAACGGAGTAATGTGGTATCAAACACACGTGTCGTTGCGCCCGCGAGATAGAGGGAGGGAGAGGTTACTGTCGTCATCAAGATGAGCAACGCACCGGCCAACAGGTAAGTATTTACCTCGCAGTTGATGTCACGCTACTCCCACCAAACAAAAATGAATGAATCTTCCACGCGATCGTGGAAACGTATATTGTACTCCAAAAGCTCCTCCCGATGCAGTTTACGAGTCATGCAGCGCCAAATTCACCCAACGATTACGAAATATGGGCTTACCATCAGATTCGCCCATTGCAAAAAAACATGTTTAGCTTCTTCGCTCCCCCGTTCCTATAAAGGAACGGGTGAGCTACATGACTCTAGCTTCTGCCATATCCAGCATGCCCCGATGCGCAACCCCCACATCTCATACTGCAAAAACGACTACCCCAACTCCAAAACCGTCTTCACCACCGTGATCGCCCTGTCCTAAGACCCCCAAACAACATCTTCTCCAACCCGATTCCGTTGTGGAATGACAAGATACAGGCTTCTTACTCCCACTTTCTTCCGTCCCCGACTCCATCCGCACACTCCATTTTCTCACTAACTCCTTATCTACTAACCTCCTTCTAAAAGTAACGACATGATTGGGTTCCCCTGCCCTTGAAACCCTTATCTACGTCCATCCCTCACTCGTTTTCATCAACAAATGGGCAGGATACGCATCGTTCAGCTCAACCATAGCTCATCTCCCATCGTTGTGCTCTTCCCTTCCGCGCTTGCACCCAACGCAGAAGTTCGTCCAGGTCCATTCACTTTTTCAACACCCTGTCGGCCTCGCCCCCTGCTCTCAGGCCCGATAGCGCTTAGCGCAACGACCCAACCTGACGGCTCCTGCTCGCTCTCTCAATCCTACAACACCTAAAGCAACTTCGGAAGGACCCGACTGCTAGACGTTTCAATAAGCCTTGTGCCTCCGACAAATGACCTTCACACCGGTGTGGCTGGAACCTCCGCCAACACCTCCTTTGGCCTTGTCCTACACAAGCAGCGCCCACTTCTCTTTGGGCCCTCGACGAAAGACCCACATATGGACTTCTCACAGGAGACCGCGGAGTCAAGGGCGCAGACCCACTGCAAACCTGCAGCGTGAGCGCTTGGTAATAGCAAATATTCAAATGAAAACTTTAAAGGTTGAGGTGGGGGGGGGTTCTGTGGGAACGCCCACTGCAACCAAGACTGTCGCGGGCCTCCGCCTGGCGCCCCCGCTGTTGCAGGCGAGTTCACCATCCCTCGGGGCCCAATGGGCATGCTCACACCCAAGACCTCTCACAATAGATCGTGGCCGGCGGACGGTACACCCGAGGCAACCCCCACCATCCACTGGCTGCAACCCCACAACCTCGCTCGGAATGTTCTCGATTCCCTCTCACTTTAGGCTATCGACGCTCTCCAAATGGGACACGAAGGAGCCACGATCACAAATCCCACCACTCCCACGTCCGTTGACCTCTTCAATCCGTATTTCAACGTGGGTAGGGTGGAGGGTTTTCCGTCGGCACAATGTGTCTGGCGATGCAGCAATTGAGCCAGGCTGGTCGGTCCCGACACCAGCCTCGAAACCGATCGCCGAGCCAAAACAAATAAAAATAAAGTCGGAATATTAATAATAATAATAAAAATAAATATAAACACGAGGAACATTGAAAAAGTAAGGGAATCAGCGGTCGTGCGTCCCAATGGCCTGCGACGCCACGCACCGATAGGCCGCACATGGTTGCGCCTTGCCGTCGATACCCCCGCACGCCGCTCACCCAGGCGAGAACCTAATCCTCCTCTCGCGCGCGCGTCGCCAAACGAGCGACGCTGCCCCGACGTGACTTGCAGAGAACACACCAAATACCCTTGTAAGGGTATTCAAGTTTGGTATGACAACATTTTCGGACTGGACTGAAACCAAATACCATTTAGTCGTAGTTTAAGGGAAAGATATATAATAACCTCTTAATATAGTTGACTGGACTGAAACAATCGTCAAGTTATATCAACTTCAACGCTTAACTTCTCAAAACAACTAGGCTAACATCAATGGTAAAGAATCCCATATAATTCCTAACCACCAACTACAGTCGAATAATCGGCTAGGCACTAACACGCTCCAACCTCTAATTCAACGAGTGGACAAATCCACTTCCCACCAACTACAGTCGCAGAGAAAAAATCATCGAATGATTAAACTTTGGACTTATACTATCCCCGATCCCTTTGAACGATATTTTATCGCGCCGGGCACTTAGATCACTGCCAAACTCAAATTAAATAGGGTTTTGATATTCAAAATCTTACTCCTTATTCAACCTTCTTTCTTTCGTACGACGATCATTCATGCTCAAATCATTCATACACCCCTCTTCAAGCTTTCTTCAAAAGATCACCCATTCGTGGGGATTATCGCAACTATTTGACTGCCCAACTATATGACATGGAGTCTCTTAGGATGCAGGTACGGCAAGAGGTATCCCAACTATCGGCCATGAATATAGAGACAAAGCAGGTTGAGGCCGAGGTCTTGGGACTAGACAGGGGGGATCCCACGAGGGCATACAGACCCAATGAGTGGGATCATCACCTCTTGATTTTGGGGATACTCCTCGACGAGACGGTGATACGAGTGAGGCCAGCATGAGGGGTCACGTTGAGGTAGGCCCGGAGCATACCCAGGATGCATCCATGACTCATGAGGAGAAGAGCTTGTCGGAGTCTCGGGGGCCGATAGGTCACGAGCCTGTCAGGAGGGATGCATGGCTAGCTGAGGAGATGGGACGGATGCCATCATTACATTTTCTAGGCTGGCTGGCTTTTGAGCGACTAGGCCAGGCCGCGAGACCGCACTTGCCGGTTGATTAGAGCACTGGTGGGCTCAGGGTACTGTATGATGACTTAAACTTGCAGAGGACATATATTGGTAGCCGCCTCACAGCAGCTCGAGAGGCGACAGAGCAGGTTCGGGATTACACGAGGAGAGTTGCCATCCGATCTTTTGAGTTGAGTCGCGACAGACAGACGGAGCACGATGCACTGAGAGAGGTGGTGAGTGATCTCCACAGGTCTGCTGAGGGAAGAGAGGCCCAGACTCTAGAGGAGGCTGAGGCGGTTATCAGGATTCAGGGGAGAGAGTCGAGTGATTGGCGAGCCCAGGTTCAGAGGGTGCTCAGGGAGTATGAGCCACCTGCTGACGCGACGGACAGAGATAGGCTCGAGCGCAGGGTTGTCCTTGAGACCGTGCGATCATCTTAGTTAGAGAGCTAGGTATCGACTCTTGTCAGGTTACGGCGAGAGGCTGAGGAGCAGACACAAAGATTCTTCTATGAGGAGGGGAGGTTAGGATGAGGAGACGGACAGGAGAGGAGCCTATGCCTGAGGGAGAGCGTATACAGGCAGAGAAGGAGCTTCAGGCGAGATTGTTGTCTGATGCCTCAGTGCAAGAGTTGGGGAGACTCACGCAGACTGAGGTTGCACGAGGAGAGGTGCTTCAGGCCGCCGTACGGAGGATCGGTGCTCTGGAGCAGGAGAACAAAGGATTGAGGGACACGGTACGTGGCCTCGTCACCAGCGCAGAGCAGGCAAGACAGACTACCTCGAGACTCGAGCAGAGGGTTACTGATCTAGAGGAGAGTCGGAGGAGTCAGGCCACGACAGATGTGGTCGACGAGAGGAGGACTGAGGAGCAATAGATTCCTATCAGACAGGCTCACGTCTCTCATGAGGTAGAGTCAGGTGGAGTGAGGTTAGACATCCCTCGGCGAGATTCGCGGACAGAGAAGCCACTTGAGGCTATGGGGATAACATGTGAGGAGGCGGCAGTCGTCGATAAGCTTATGCTTGAGCCGGACGAGATCGAGAGGAGGAGAGAGGCAGAGGCACGAGGTTTGGACTGGGTCCCTCCCTTAGAGTTGGCAGTTCAGAGGGATCTATGGCAAGGATTGGGGGGCAGACATGACGAACGGGAGAGAGTTTCTGAGCTACGAGATGTCATGCCACAGGAGGACACGAGCGGATCAACGACAGTACTGCCGACGACTCTGCCACTTACACCAGCTCTAGCTTTGAGACCGATGAACGATATAGTGCACCTCCTTTCGTCAGGATTTGAGAGATATGATGAGGAGGCGACGACTGAGAGAACCTCAAGGATGTTGAGTCCTGATACGGTAGATAGAGCCGTACAGGACGTGACAATCCGACTCGAGAGGGCATAAACTCAAATTTTACCCAAACCTAAAAAGGCCAAGGTAGAAGGCAGCAACATCGGTGGTATATGCTCATGGTGTGATAGAGGAGTGCACGACAGAGTTGCTTGTCCCGCCTTCCAGGTTGACCTCAGTAGGTGAGTCGTGCAGTTCGATGGATAAGGGCTAGTCAGGGATATGCATGGCGCTCATCTTCCAACAAGACGTCACGATGTTAGGAGAGTGTGTATGACAGACTAGGCCTGGAGCTAAGGGAGGATGAGTGACAGACTACATGACCACGATGCATGGGGTGCCAGACTATGAGATTAGAGAGAAAATCTATGAGGACGAGGTGGTGGTTATGGAGATAGACCGTTGGACTCGTTGCATATTACTCGTATCTTCTACTATTGAGGACTCCTGGCTTCATGACCAAGCGGTGTACTATATATGGTTGGTAACTAGACTTGACTCATGCTTCAGTAGGCTGTACATACATGATAGACTACTAGTTTGAGTTGATTGGGTTGAGTAGGGGATTCAGAGATTGCCCTGGGCATGAGAGTCCAGTTTTGTGTGAGTTTTGTGTGAGTTTTGTGTGAGATTCGTGTGCATTTGATATGAGTATGACCCTTTTAGTGTAGGACCTTGAGTTAGTGAGTATCTTCGTGGGATACATGTTTTCTTTTCAGGGACACTGTTTTGTTATTTGGTTGATGACACCCCCGTGATTTTTGTTTTCGATTCTTCGGTGATTGTTTTGAGAGTCGGAGTGCTTTGTGCTTTCTGCGAGGAGTCTTGATTCATAGGATTTATAGAGAGGATATTTGTTAATTCTGAGTGGGGCATAGTGGGCATCACACCTATGGATATATCCTATGGGACACGATACTGTGTTACGATTTTCCTATGTGATCATTTTTTTGAGTATGCGATATTCACGGGTTTGATTTAGATATATGAGTCTCGTGTGGAAACAGGGCGCCAAGGATGATTCTCATAGTATGGACTTGTACTCACTTCCCTTGCATTTGTAATGTTTGTCTCTGTTTATGATTGTGAGTGAGTTGTTTGATTATTGAACAAGTGATTACTGACCTTGATTGTATATGAATCAATGTGGGAGAATCAATGAAAAAATTGTTCGACGAAAATGCATGGAAATTGGCTAGACCGAAAAGGAAGCCCAAATGTTTGATGAAAGGGGGGCCGTTTTGAGGAGTCACCTGTTTATGCATGTGAGATGAAAGCACAAATGTTTTATTATAACTTGTTTCGTGAAGATCGATAAAACTTTGATTTTTGCAGAAAACTGTTAGTGGATAACCAAACTTGAGAAAATGTCTATATGCTGAGGGGTTTCTTCGGAAGAGAAAGAAACTTGTTTGTGAGGCTCTGGGGTCATCAGTCGCATCTGCTATGATCAAGCAGAATGACTGCAAGCATTGAAAGCTGGCTCAAAAGTATTTTGGGAGGCCTAAGCCGGGGGCTAAATCGATATCGTTGGGGCAATCCCCAACGTGGGCTGTTGTCCCGCCTAACCAGGACAGCGGACCCCTAGCTTAACCTGAGCTTAGAGACGGAGGGGTGACCCGCACCATCATCCATAACATATAATATATATAAGCAGGGTATTATAATTACTATTATTATTTATTACTTATTATTATTATAATTTATAATTTATTATTATTATTTATTATTATTATTATTATCATTCCTATTATTATTATTACTATAATCATATGGGAGGGCTAAATAATTGAGCCAAGTATCGGGTCACTCCAAAGACTCTAACTAGGGCAACTGTTAGAGGGTACTTAGGTCCAAAGGTCAGAGAGTCGCCTTAGCATTGTGCAGACAATGTAGGCAACATCGCTGCTTAATCGCACGATGAACCGTGGTTTGGCCCGATCAACCAGACCATGGTGGGCTGAGAGCAAGACTATGATCCACCTATGACTAGACGCAAGGTTGGTTTAAGTTTGATTTAAATTGCATGGAGTGAGCTACGTGCAACACTGTGTCTATCACAAGTTGAGCTACTCAAAGGGGCGTGCTTTTGTATGGTAAGCCACCTAGAGGAGTATGTTGCTATGCTTTGATTTTGTTGAGCTACTCGAAAGGAGTGGGCTACCTGCGCCTATTGTGTGATGCTGTTTGTCCCACTAAGGGCAATTGTCTTGCCTAAGACCCACGCCCTAAGATGACAGCTTCTTGATAGCCCGATTTAGACAACACCCAACGAAAGTCGGAAGGCGTCTAGGGCAAACGGAAGGGGCTGGTACTTGAACACTAAAGCTAACCTAGGGCGAAGGTATAACCAAAGTATCCTTGTGAGTCAGACAGGAGGTGCAGGTTGGACTCTTGCTCGCCATAGGGACGTCGAAGAACAAGAGTACCAAACCCCAAACTGAGTCCTTCCAATTATACGGATTTGGTTATCCATCTGCTCAGTCTATGCATTTGCTTATGTTTTTCGCTTATACTTTTTCGTCGTTACCCAAAGCAACGGGGACGTCGCTTAATGGGGTTTGGGAGGACTGTCGTAGCAAACACCCTTACAAGGGTATTTGCCGTTGTTTTTGAAGATCGCACTGGGTGCGTCATTGATAAACGTAAAGCACTGATGGGACAGATCCCGTCGCGACGCTCATCTCGGCAACCTCGCTCTTGGCGAGAGTCCGAGCCAGGTATGGCCGAGTTAGAGGGTTTGTGGGGCTCGCATTATTGCGTAGCACAGTAAGATGACCAGTAATTGTCGGCGATGGTAGGTCAGCGAGCAAGGAATGAGCTTGACCAAAAGCGCACGTAACGCAGTCCGAGGAGCCGGAATAGAAAATTGACAAGCAAACCCGCGGTCGGTGTGGGTTATGCCCGAAGAACACTGACAGGAGGTGTCAAAGCCATAGGGTCCGGTTACCCACCTTCTTTAATTTTTATTTTGGTTATATTTTCCTTTCATTTTATAGTATCTATCTACCTTTACTTTGTAGACCGGCTCGGCCTTCTGGCGGGGCCTATCGCGAAGGAGATAAAGATTTTACTTTGTGCGCGCGTGGGAAGATTGTGTTTGACGACGCGCTAAAAGGTACGGGTTCGTCAGACCGAGTTTCGGAAAAGTCGAGAGTTCGGTAAAGCATGTGGTGCACCGGACGACCAGGGTGCCAGACGGTTTTACGAACCTAGGCACGAACGACGTCATCTGGCGGCCGGGAGATTGGCCGGTAGGCCAAGGCAAAGGCCTAGTTTGTGCGTGTAGGACCAATCACAGTCCTGCGACTATTCATATGCAGGGTTCGCACCTACCTAGTTTAAACTTGGGCTTTGCCCTATTGGTTACGGTACTGGACTTTCCACCGACGGGTCTGGGGTTCGAGGCCAGCGAGGAATTAAGGAGCGAAGGAGCGCGACAGACGGAGACTGAGGGGTCAAGGGTCCTAAGGGACTATCCCCCTTGGTTTTGCCGGACGGGCCCGGGTTTGGGTCTGACTGGCAAGACCAAGAGGGTGCCACGTCCTCTTCTGTTTTACTAATTTTATTTTTGACTTACTTTTATTTTTATTTTTCTTTCTCTTTTCTCTTTTCTTAATGTCCCGTTCGTTGACCGGGCCGGAAACTGGCTTCGGGACCGACGACGAAGAAGTACCGCGAGGGCGGATGAAAAGAAATTGGAGAGAGAGTTAAAGAATGTTTATAAATTGTTGAAGGAGCGGACGGAGAGACGTTGTGTATCCCCGCTCAATGGGGGATGGAAGGGTAGTTGCGTCACCGCCCTCTTTGACTGTAACGAGCGTGAGGCTGAGGGTGAGCCTAGGAAGAGGAGAGAGAGAGGGAGAGAGGGAGAGCACACACACACACTCACTCACTCGACACGCCGGACTCGGACTGAGGGTCGGACGCAGACACAGTGGCAAGGCACAAAGTCGAAGTCTTGGATTCCCAATGTCGAACAGGAGCAAGTCACACTGAGTACGAGTACAGCAGCAGAGAACTGGTACGAGATTGGTCTCCATACCATACGGGGAACCGGTATATGTACCGGTGACACGTACGGTACCAGGGGCATTTCTGCAAAGGCCCCGAGGGCATAACTGAAAAATGCAGCATTTGAAAGTGGCGCCCGAATTGCTGCATGGCGCCAGTTGTCCAAAATCCTACGGTACCAAGGAGGGGTTTGGAAAAAGGGTGCCAGGCCGAAAACAGGATGCAGCCGAAACAACAAAAAGATAGACCAGGGATCGAGCCCTGACGAAGTCCGTAACACTATCCCCTCCCTCTAGAAGGCAACGTCCCGGCTGCCAAAAATCATGAAGCAATGCTGAAATCTGTGAAGGACGGGACGGGGCCGATCACTAGTTAACAAGTCGAAAGGGAAGAGGGGTATAATGTGGGTGGCATGAGCTGCGGGAGTAAGAGGGAACAGGGTTTGGTACCGGTGAACAGAGTTGTCCAACTGATGAACTAGGGGGGGTTGCAAGGAACAGGGTAGTCCTACGAATGAAGTAAAGGGAAGATAGGGAGCAGGGTGGTCCTACTGATGAACTAAGGGGACTGCATGGTTCGCTATAGGTTAAGGGGGAACATAG